GTTACAAGGTTGGTCAAATGAGTTAAAGTTGAGAAAATAGCACATAAAATATAAAGTTTCACTGAAAAAAAAACGTTTGACATTATTTAGGTCCTAGGAGGTTATAGAGATTATAAATATGAAATTTGTAAATTTTCAGATAAAGTATTTATAATCTTAAGATGAAAATCACTTTGCACTTGGAGCTGTCAACAATCTGACTTCATATATTCACAGAAATAATTTTGAAAAAAAACTTAATTAAAAATCAGATTTTTTTGTGTACAAAACACTTGTAATGTTTACTGAAAGCCTGCCAAAATACATAAAGATACAGAAAACATATTAAAAGTTATTGTATAAAACATGATGGTTACTTTGTGATTACAAAGTCAGCCACATTGACCAACCCCTTTATGGAGTTAGTGGTAACTTCAGTTCAATAACAAACTTCATATATCACTTACAACCAAAGTAGTCAAAAGACTACAAGAATTTCTAGATATATGCATTACTAAATGCTAATTATTAATGTTAAATATCTAAGTTGGTTAAATAATTTAAACCTTACAAAGTTTCACATTTTTGCCAGCTAAACAATGAAGAATATAAACTCTGGCCAGATAAAAGATATGTTTAAAAATATTTGTCTTGTTGTTTCATCACATTTGTATTAGGTCGTCAAGAAATTAATGTCACTTTTAGATGAAAAAACCTGAACAACTTATATATCAAAACAAAATATTTATTAGTCTCCATTCTTATCAATGATGCTTTTCCATCTTACAATCTGGTTGTTAATACCCTGATTAAAGAAATCACTTGTCTTTGAAGCACAAAACATGTTGATGTCCTCTTTAACACCTTCCATATTTGCATACGTTTTTCCATTAAAATGGTGTTGCAGTAATCTGATGGTGCCATATTTGGAGAATATGGTGGGTGGGGGAGAACTTCCCAACCCAACTCCTTAATCTTGTGTTGCATCAAACATGCTTCATGTGGATGTGCATTGTCGTGGAGAAGAACACCTTTCCAATTGACGAGTAAAGGACATTTCTGATGAAGGGCTTGATTTAAAC